CTCTGCTTATGGAATATGTTGCAGTGTCAAGCTCTGTTGGATAATGGTAGATGAATGTGTCATGTGTGACATGGAACTGTGGCATGCTGTACATTACTGATTTCCCAAGTGTTTGGAGCAGGTAGTAATGTGCTGGGAAAGTGCTCTTTATCTATCCACACAGTGTTCTTGTAGAGCAATGGGGAAATGCTTTTGGTGGAAATTACTTTAGTCAGAAAAAGAATCCATTTACAATATGCGCCTTCTAACATCTTTCAGACAATGCATTGTATTAAAGAGGCATTTTTTGATTAATGTTTTATAAACATTTTTCAGCATGACAGCTTAAAGCCCCTGTAAAATTGTAAATGCGTGCATCGTGTTCACTTCCATAAAGTCAAATGCCATCTCATAAAGTCTAGTTGGATCCTGTCAACCATGGTGACACAGAATCAGTACCTGGGAGCATTAAAATTAATTTGCTTCATTTATATTACTGCAGTGATAGCAAGATGAAAAGAGTCCTATATTTAAATTTTACTTTAAAAAGAAAACTCTTTCTAGTAAGTTTGTTTTTTTTTTAAATTATTGCCTTTTTTCTCCTACTTAAAGAATGTAGTGAAAACGGAGTGATAGTCTGCACAGTAAATTTATGATGCGATCTGGAAGAATACAGAGCCATTCATTCGACACACTCCTTTTGAGCACCTACCCTATGCTCAAAGATGAAGAAACCACCGGTGGTAGTAAGTGCAGTGAACACTAGGCTGGAGCGTGTTACAGGTTGGGTGAGCATAGAGTAGAAAGGACCTGATGGCCAGCCTGGGACTTTGAGGATGGCATCCCAGAGGAGGCGATGTAAGAGCTGAGGGCTCGAGGAGTGGGTGAAGCGAGACATGGGGGATGGGCATTGTAGGCCAGAGGAGCTCCTGTGTAAAGGCCTAGTTGGGGGGGGGCGGTGATGGGGAGCAGCACAGGCATTCCTCCAGGCTGGAGCATGGAGGCAGGAGAGGGGAGGAGCATGACATATAGAGATATAGAGGGATGGGGGCCAGGTCAGGAGGGTCCTCGTGCACCGCACTTAGGGGTCTCCCCTGGGTCACAGACTCCTGAGGAGTTTGATAGAATCAGATTTTGTGCTCGTTCTGGCCACAGAGCAGAAAAGAGCTTAGAGAGGACACACCTAAAGTCAGAGAGACTGGTGTGGAGACAGCATGGGAATGCTGTTGAGAGCTGACTGGTCTGAAGAAAGTTTATGGGGAGGAGGTGTGAGTGGTCACGGGGACGCCCCAGAAGTCACTTCGTGCAGGGTTAGGTCACATTCCGCTCGTGGCATGCCTCGCCCTTTCACAGAGCAGTTCATCAGCTCCAGAGTGCTGACTGAAGGAATGAATGATCGAGTGAGTTGTTCGACAAGTTAGTGAAGAGGATGAGAGGGGGCGCACGACATAGGCTTCTGGAATAAGAGCTACTGCTGGTGTTCTGACTTGACTTGAAGATCACATTTTGCCCAATTCATGACCAAGTAGCAGAAATCACTGTGTGCTGAGTGCAGGGGCTCCTACAGATTCCTAACCTCACTCTCTTGAATTTTGCGTCATCATCCTGATAGTGATGGCAACGTGGCAAAGCTGCCCTAGAACTGACATATTGAACCGTGATGGCCACTGGAGCATGGAACGTTCGAACGTGGAAAAGTTAACTCTCACTCAGCTTCTCCCAACTTCTTTCTACACTGACCTTCGAGGACATGAAAATGCAGACTGGAAGCTCTCTCCAGGACTGAAAGGAAAGCAGGGAAAAAGAAAGATGGAAAGATACAGATAAATAGGAGATTGAAAAGAAACCCTAATAATTGGAAAGGAAAGTAGAAATCAAATGATTGAAAAGTAAGGTGGATTTTAAGACTGAGGGAAGATAAAGATTCCTGAAACAAATAACATATGACTTGAATCACTGGGGTCCCCCTTCCCTCACCAAGTGATTGAGCCGTGCATCCTCCCCAGGAGAGGAACAAGCAAGGATACGTGACAGGGACTTGGGTCCTAATCCCTGGAAGCTAGGCTCTTTTTTCTCTCTGTTATATTATGTTCAATCATATTTTTAACATTAGTTGCTTCGAGTGCTAGTGATAGGAAATTTGATTAACGATTAACGAGGAGTTACTGCAGGCACGTAAAGTGAGAAGGAGAAATCCCTATTTAATTCATCAAATGTCTGTAGCAGCTTCTAGTCATCACGGATCCCTTCTCTTTGTCAAGCAAGGTGAGTAACTGTAATACAAGGCAAAGGAAGGAAAGCGCCTGTAACCGCCAGGGTCAGTCAGGAAAACTGAAAGCGCTCTTTCAGCGTAGGAAAGATTAAACAGTGTCGGAAAACCGAAAGGGGGAAAGGAGGCGGTGAGGGCAAAAAGGAGTAAAAACCGCAGGAAGTAGCAAGAACTAGGGGAACAAAGGGAAGTTGGGGTTCTCAGAGCCTAGGAGCTTGGAGGAGGAAATGGGGGCTCAGGCCTCTTAGGAGGGGCACAGCGAGCTATCAGCTGGAGCCAACTATTGCTGCCGCTGCCCCCTGAAGGTGCTGTTACTCGTAGGAGCCCCAAGTACCTCCTCCTCCAACCTTCCTCTAGTGCCCCTGCTGGCAGAAGTATCCAGGGAGTGGGCAGACAAGGAGGGGTGGTGTTCTCAGAGCCCCAGCCCCAGCCCCAGCCCCTTCCCTGAGCAGCATACATACAGAAGAGTGCGTTTGAAGATGAGACCCAAGAGCCGGAGAACCAGCACAGGGCCAGAAGAGAACATCACACAAATTGGGATGAGGGTCCAAAGAAGGTAGAAGGTCACTTGTCCACTGAAAGCTTCTTAACAGTAGAGACTTGGCTTCATCTTTCCGTCTGTGTGCCCTAGACACTTCTGGGGGCATCCTAGCAATCACTTAGCTCCTTCAGCATATGAAGTCACAGAAACATCCTGGTATGGGTGGCCGGGGAGCTCGATGCGGACTTCTGCTTCTGGAAGTGCTTCTGGGAAGCATCCAAGAGGAAGGAGTTCCAAAAGAACCTCTGGACAAGAAAGTTTTTTGCATACCACAAAGCTGCATTTCTGCTTAATGAAGCTGCAATCCCCGTGGCACTTTGACCTGAAGACCTCTGAGACCTTGAACCTTCCCTGGCACAGAGGGCTAGAAATGCAGGTTGTGTGGGTTGCAGTTCAGACCCCACCACCTGGGACAGTTTCCTGACCCTGAGGTCCGTTTCCTCATCAGTAACGTGGTGCGAACACTAGTTTTCACCAGCCTCCCAGGGTTATCGTAAGGCTTCCTTCATTCATGGGGGAGCACTTGGGCAGCACGTGACATCTAGTAAGCCCTCATGGCATACTAACAACGATGGGCATCGTTATTGCTAGCTGCATGTACCTAATTCCCCACACTAAGGTGAATCTCTGCTGTGGCTTACCTTGAGACACCTTGTCTCTCTTGCAGCCAATTTCTGGTTACTGAGCCCACTTCAGCTTAGCTGAGGAATGATAGAGCCCGAGTCTTCGCCAAGAAAGGGTAGCTTGAGTGATTTAGCCCAGCAGCCATGGTCCTTGAACGCTGGGTCAGAAACCCCCGCTGCCATCACTTTCAGGGACAAGTATCTCCATATTCCTACCATTTGCTTCCTTCAGCCCCGCTTTTACTCCACCCCCATCCCTGCGCTCCTGAGTGTCATCCCTTTGCGCCAAATAACCTCTCCTGGAAACAGGAGAACGCTCAGCTCTTCTTTTCTCATCACGATAACTTCCCAGGTTCATAATATCAGATGCTGCTCTTCGACTATCCATTGATTAAGTCTATTATTTTTAAAAAGAAAGCTCTTTTGTTTTTTATATTGGTGAGAAGACAGAAAGTGCAAAAATCTAAACATGTACTTTCCAAGCTTCGAGAGAGACTGTTGGGGACAGGTTAAGTGTTTTCAGTTTACGGCAATGATTTGTGAGAGGCTATGAAAAAGAAAGCAGCTATGAAATACATTTTTGCATAAAGGTTTGAAATTTATTAGAAGGTAAAAATAATTGAAAAAGCAGAGCTTTCCTCAGTGGGTTATAATAAAAAGTTATTTATGTGCCATCAGTGTGCATGTTTAGGAGCTTGGGTCCTTCTCAGAGGCTGTTCTCAAAGAAACAAGAAGGAAGCTAAGCTATTAAAGCTATTCCGTTGAAAAAGCTGACATACATACACAGTAATTCTGACAACTGGGCCATATTAAAACAATTGGTAGTAATAGTCAAATTGCCGGTGTCTGATTTCTCTTATAAAAGCTTAATAGGTACACACTGTAGGCAGCTGTTTACAAAATCTGCAGACCTTGCCCTTGGTATAATAGAATGGTAGACTCAGGAAGTAGTATTCATTTACCTGAGTTCCATTAAGACCTTCACTGTGGGGTTTAAACATTCAGCCCTAATCTTAGAATTCACCTGCCATATAATATCTCATAAAGTGCTTTGAGATCGTTGGCCAAAAGAGAAGGCACAAAGCCTCTATTAATGTTCATTTAGCGGAAGTGCCCTCCCACTTATAATGGTATATATCGTATATTATCTTACCATGTCCTTTCAGTTCTCAAAAGTGAACTTAGGGACATGAAATGATGCCAGGCAGGCGTCCAGCAGACTGTTTCACGACAAAGCAGGAAGAGATCCATTTTTGAATCTCCACTTTACTCATATTCTTCAGCCTTCTGAGAAGCAACTCTTCTCTCCTCTCCTTGGTAGACAGCCTGCTAATTTGCAGTGGGAATTATTGGTGTCTTTGAACACTGACCACCTTTTCAGTTTCATCTGTTCTGGGTAGAGCTTAGAGTTTTAGGTAGTGAAAGGAAGATGGAAAGATTTAATGAGTCTTTTGAGACATTCCCTAGGAACACGTTCAGGGGGAAAGATGGTAATGACCTAGTCCAGAGTTCCAGTTTTAATGGAGTGTCTTTAGTTTGAGGACAGACTGAATTTGCCTCTAGATTTTCTGTCTTCTTTGTTCATCAGGAATTCCAATGCTGAAGATCGTGTTTGCAGGCCACGAGCACCTCTCCCTAATATCTGTGCCCTTGCTCATATACCACCCAGTTCAGATCCTTCTGGGAAGTGTGTTGGTGCCAACAATAAAGTCTTGGATGGTGTCAAGGCAGAAGGTGAGACTCTGGAAAGATCTCATTTGACTCCTAATCAGACTGAAATGCTATTTCCGAATCTTAGCCATGCGTATACTTTAACTTTTGCTAGCATACCCTCATCCTCAAGTACATACTTTCTTAACCAATCACAATAATAATGACGCGTTGATCGATTTCAATTTGAAAAGGAGGACTGAGGGTTACATGGTTTATATTGTTATGAAAGTGCAACTATACCTAAAATGCAGTGTTGAAAAGCTTTAAAAAAAAAAATCCGCCCACATGGGAGGACATACTGCAATGGGGTAAAGGTGAATATACTCAAAATATCCTCCCCCCCTCTCAGGTATACACCTTCTTTCCCCCACCCCGTCTTCCCTGCCTGTCCTGCTTTCACATGCCTTTCTAAATCCGGGAGCACCTGGCTTTATCTAAAATGTCTACTTTATTTTTAATTTTCCAGACACCTAGTAACTTCTTTGCACAGCGAAACTATGTGTTGGAGCATTTAAAAAGTTTAATTAGCATAGGAGCCCACACAACGTCAATTTCACCATGCTTAGCTCAGAATCTTGTAACTCATTCAATATCTATAGATTTGCTTTCCTAAATTATCAGTCGAAATAAAATCCGGGTGATTCATCCAGAGTTTCGATGCTGTGTGTACCATCGGAGCGCCCGGCGGGCTGTGGGCTGGCTCCTTCCCGGCGGCGCGGACGTTACAGGACTGCCCCGAGCCTGGGCACAAGGCAGCAGCTGTCACCAGGAGAAGAGTGGAGAAAGAGTCAGCCAGTGGCGGGGGCGTGCCCGGTGTGCTGTCCTTAGCATCCTGAAAATGGAATAGCCACACTACCACCTATTGAGCTCCGTGTGTGCGAAGCACATCCCCATCTTCCCCTGGTTCCGAGCGTGGGCCTTGAGCCAGCATGCGAGCTCAGCCACCTCCTCTCAGGGTGACCCTGGCCACCTTATTTCACTTCTCTGTGCCTCAGACTCACGATAACGTCTGCTCCTCGGAGTTACAGAGGCTCCTCTGACAGGGGTTTGATGAGAGCTAGCTGCTGTAATTATCACTGTTGTTGTTGTTCATTACTGTCTACAGCACTGCAGCCAGCGCAGCCGTCGCCCCTGGACAGCTTAGGAAGGAGGCTCGGGGAGTCGAGCAACTTGCCCGAGGTTACGTGGGGTGGGTTAGTCAGTTCTAGAGTGAGGACTAGAACCCTGGTCTGTTCGGTCCCCCAGACCTTTCCTTGATACCACAAGGACACTCGAGACAGAAATACAACATTGTTTTTAGAAGGAGTGCCCTAGGTCCCCGGGATCCTACCTGAACAGGTTAGCCCACCCAGCACCTTCATTTATTTTTCCACTTACCAGAATGGTAGAGATTACCATTCCTTACTGGGTACCACTCTGGGCTCCAGTCCGCCCACTCAACAGTTGGTAGAGGAGCGGTTTAGTACCTTTTTATTTCTGTTACTATTTAGCCCTTTCGAAAACTTCCATTTATATCTGTCGATGTATATGCACATTGGTCCGCATTGATACACATAAATTTTGACAAAGAATGAAGAAAAGTATTTAAAAATCCTAATATTCTGTCAAAAATATGCAGTTGTAGTGAACAACAAATTAAACAGAATGAAATTTGTCTTCTGAATGTTTAAAAGCAGAGTGACAGAAGCATTTCCAAAAGGGAGGCTAAATTGGACAATCCTGTTCATTCTCCTTTTGCACAGAAACCACTCCAAACCCGGGAGGTGTTGGCTGCCTTAGAATAATCCAGAAAGCGTGGAATATTTGCCCATCCCATTTGCCCACAAAAATAAATACAAACTGTCAATCATAAGGGTATCCACGAGTATCTCTTCTGCTTTACAAATAGGACTGATTGAGACCCATGGCCACCCTCCAGTGTACAGCGGGACAGTATGAGTAGCCAGATGGGGCTGGAGAAATGACAAAGTCCACTAGCCAGTGAGGTGGGCAGGTGGACCTGTTTGTGTCCAGAGGTTTGGATTGTTGGTTATGTAATGCTCTCGGGGTGGGTGGGCTTCATCTTCCTTCTAGTAGCATAAATTATCTGGTGTTGATTGATGCTTTCATTTTGTTCATAGATACTGTCCAGCTCTGAACATCATGTTGTCCTTTCTTATAGGGAGTGAAGTTGACGAGGCCAACAGTATAAGAAGGGAGGCACTCATTATGCAGCGATGTATATATGTACAGGATTGTACATACAAACAGTTCTGAAGACTTGTACTTGTGAATGTTGTTTCGATGCATATTTTATTTTTTTACACAAAAATATGATATAACAGTTTAAGTGCCTTAAAATGTATTTGACAGGAGCGTTATTTCCAAAACCTACTTTGTTGGTTACTGCCAGGGGTGGTACCATATTTTGGAGTGGTTTAATTTTTTTTTTTCCAAACACAGGAAACCATGATCGTGACAAAAAGCAAACATGCTTTCCTCGTACCACCTTTGGTGCAATACAACCCTTCACTAGTTACTGTGCTGTTTGAAATGAGGTCACACCATCAGGAAAATCCCTTCTGATGACAGTGAAAATTTCCAAAGTCTTATTCATGAATACTTTGATTTACTCTGTGATTCTTTGTTTCTACAACTGTGACATGTCTCTTCCTTATCAACTCAGCAGGGGTCATGGATTGCATAGATGCAGAAAGGCATAAGTTATCTGCATTTCTTGACATCATTTTTTAGACATTCCTTCAGATAGTTTCCACACAGAAATTCCTCAGTCCCATTATAAGAGATTGTGGTGTTATATGTCTTAAATTTATTATAAGCTGCTTCAAAGAAAGAGCCTGATGTTTGAGTTATAAGTAAGTGAAGTTTTGAGGTAAACTACAGGACATGTATTCAGGATTTTTAAAATTATGTTTCATTTATTTTCCCTTTTTCTGCCATAATTTCTTTCTTAACTGTTTTCCAGCACACTTGCAAACTCCTAACAGCCAAATATGAGATGTAAAAATGTTACAGTCAGTTTGAGAACAGCAACAGTTAATGATGGATTATATTCACATTCCACAACTGAGACCAAAATTTTTTCTTGTTACACAGATGTCTGAGCACAAATTGCCCCTTTTAGCCAGAAGCAGCCTGTTCCATCCTTGAATTAAGCACACTTAAAGGCATTTGAGACGAGTTATTAATGAAAATTTCCTTGGCAGATTTGACAAATGTTTGCAACATTTTCTTAAAATTAAATCATATTGTTCTTATGAATAAATAAAAATATAAAGGTCATGGACACAAACAAATGTTACATATACACATTCTGTCTAGCCAGATGGAAAGAAAAATGGGCACAGAAAATGCAAAACCATTCATTAACCAAAAGATCAAATAAAACAAGTCCCCAGTTGGGCATCAGCTTTCAAAGGAGAATTCAATCTTGGCTTCCACTGTGGCTGGATGAACTTTCACTGGACCCAAATAGAGAAGAAAGCGATATAGAGAATTAAAGGACACTGTTCCTCTGTTTCCTGCCCAGCATTCTGTCACGTCCTCTCTGCATGTCCTCTCTTGATTTGACAGACAGTATTGGCATCCTGGGTCACACTGACGCTGACTCTGTGGTCAGCAACAGAAAAGATCCTTCCTTAGAAACTTACCAGGTTTATCAGTAGCGTAAATTCACATTATCGTCACAACCCGGTCTCATCTCGTGTTCCTTCTGACCATTTCAATATTACTGAACCTCATAAATTTCACAAGAGTTATCCTCAGTGTAAATTTTAAGGCTAGTACCAGACTCTGCAAAAATCTGTGGTGAACAGGCTGTTTGTCAAGAATTTCACTTATATCTAAAACTCCAGTAATTTCGCTGCTCACAAATGGAGCACAGAAAGGTTTTCATGTTTTGTTCCTACACGTTTCTTGGAATTTCAGAGGCAACGGGGTTTGTCTGTCTGAGCTATAAAAATCTGTCTCCCTAGCATTAGAATACTGATTTTTTTTTCTCCCCAACTTATCTACCTCTATTGTCTAACACCTACAGTAGGTGTGATTATGGGATAAGGTTCAACTGAAAATGCTGTAACATGCTTTAAAAAACATGTTTTGTTTTCAAATAATCTCTACATAGTGCATTTTGGTGGCTTTAGTGATACATTTATGCCTATTTCTTTTTTTACACAGATACTGTGGCATATTTTTCCATAAAGAATTAAAAAATAAAATCAAAATTTATTTGTAAGTCATGCTTATTGGGATTTAATTATTCACCTCAAAATATTTTATTATTGTGTTATGCACTGTCAGGCTATCCATTTATGCATTTTTTTGTCTAAATGTATTTATGAAGGAAATACATTAGATTATATTTATGTTTACTCATTTTTCCACTTGTTTTTTTTTAAGTGGTTCTTACAAAATTTGATTTTTTTAAATGGGTGATAATGTTAATCTTTTCATGTGTTCTTTTCTAAGTTTTAAATTCTGTATTTTTAAAAAATTCCCTATTCTGTTTAAAACTAACACACCTCTGGCTAATGTTCAGTGTTTGTTTATGCTAAATACCAAATTTTTACAAAAGGATTGGTGAAATAATAAAGTGGATTATTTACGATGAATGGAAGATAGAAATAATTCTATGATTAAACAAAGAGATGTTTCAGAAATCACAAGAGAACCTGTGGCTTTTTTTTAACCTGGTTGCAGATGCACTCATAATGCTTTCCAAGTCTCTCTCGATTTCTCTTTGTTCATTCCGGTACTATTATATCATTTGTGCTTAAAAACACATAAGCTTCATAATCGTCCAGGTATCCATGTCATCAATACCTCCACCATGGCATCACGTTGAAATCCAAAATTCACCCTTGCTTTTTGGTTAGAGTTGTTTTCTCTGCAACAGGATTGAGAACCAAAAGAGAAACATACCCAACAGGAGGGGCCAAATTTAAGTGATCTGAATTTTAGGCACCCTTGTCATATTTTCAAGGGATAGAAAAGACAGAGCCTTGGAACACCTTTTCCAAGCACAGTGTTTCTTTATGAGCACCTTACCTTGTGTAGAATTCCATATTTGTGTCTTCTTCTTTGGCTGTCTTCCTGGCTTAGCAATCCTCTTCTCCCTGGCAGGCTGTTGGAAATGCCATCCCCTCGATGAGGCTTTCCTGCCCTCCCCCCCAACCCCAAGCCAGCACCAGACTTGTGACATACCCTTAGAACTTGTCCTTCAAGTTCTGAAACCTTTGCCTCATCTAATCATGACGTTGCATATGTCACCTACAGTGTGGCCCCCATTTCTGTTTCTCTGCAGTGCCTAGCACAGTGCCTGGCTCAGAGCAGTAACCAAAAAATGCACGTCAATTTTCTCAATTGTGATCTTAATAAGTAGGACATGAACCTTCAAAATTATGAGAGAGCACTTCCCTACATATAGATCACTACTAATTTACAAGGAAGACTGACTTCTTTACTGCTGTTCCTATCTGAATAAGACTGGAGCTGCATCGTGCTACGCAGAGAAATGCATTACTTCATAGTGGTGTAAATATGAACTCTCCAAGGTGACATTGCAGGTGTGAAAAGCAAACAACTTTCATCTTCTCTGCTCTGACAGCACAGTAAACCCTCAATAATTCAGGCTAAATCAGGTTGGGTCAGTCGGAATTAGTGACTACTTTATATGCATAAAAAATAGAGTTTCCCTTGTAGAAGTTTTAACATACTACAAAGAGTAGATTCAGATTATTATGATTATCATCCTATCATTGGTTTGTATACAGACATAAATGAAAAGTCTTATAAGAGTGTATTCTCTCTAGCAAGCCAACTCATTTACACTAGAGGACAGTTTCTCAAATGTGAGTAAAATAGAACTTCATTCAAAGGGGAAAAAAATTTCTTGTAGACCCTGGGAAACTCATCTACAGAGCCAATTCTGAGAAACTGCATTAAACAGTAAATGACCGTCACTAACGATCCATCGGGGCCCACGTGCTTGAGGACACAGGCGAGGACGCGACCCATGAAATCACAGCACCATTCTGAGTCACAGATCGTCCCCTGGATGATTTCTACAACTCAGAAATTCCAGACCGCCCAGGGTTTCTATGAGACAGGGCCTTAGAGTCCGTGGACAGGAAAAGAACACACTGAAGAGATCGATCCTGGCCTCAACCATACACATGGATCATTCCCTCCACTATTCCAGATGTGAAATCCTTACAACATGGTTGATTTGTACTCACTGCTGGAAGTTCTAGAGTCTGACTCTGGGTGTTCACAGAGAGCACCGTTGTCAGTGTGGCGTCCTGGGCTGGTTTTGCCAACGTGCTAAAAGCTCATCCTGTATCTTTTCCACCAATACGTGTTCACCACGACTTCCTACCCTGGGCCCTGCTCCACTAGCATCTCACATGTGGTGTGTTCTGACAGTGCCTTGCCCCACAGCCATACCTGGGAAGTCCCATGCGTGTTGAAGATGGAGCAAAATACCATTTTATCGCTCACCTCTCTGCTTACGAAGCCAAAGAGAGTCATGTGACATCCTAGATTTGTTACTAGGATCAAATGAGATAATTCCCACAAACAGCTTGTCACAGTGCCTGCCACTTGGCAAGAACTCAATTAGCGGCAGCCATTATCATTGCCCAACAACGGATGGGACCTGGGTAAACCGCGCTGGATGTGTAGAGTCAGGTGTCAGGCTCAGTTCTGCATGACTTCTAATTATGCAAAAGACCTATTACAAAGTCCATTAAATGTCACTAATCAAGTCAGGAGGTGACCAGGGCATGAGTCTTATTACTTCATCAGTTAATGAAGATACCTGACTCTGAATTTCAAGATGGTTGCAGCAATCCCTGTCTTCCAGCAGGGATAGGAAGGCCCTCCCAGCCCACCATTGCTATCTGGGTCACGCCTTTTTCTGCCTACTCCCAAGAACTCCAAGCAGAAACTTTGCCCAGTTTCCCCCAAAGCCCTGAGTCTGGCTAAGAACCATCTGATAAAGCAGTTGACAGACAGAGCTGCCCCCATATTGATTCCGATTGACTAATGCCTGCCTGGGATGAGTTCCGATTCGGGGGCTGCTCCCAGAGCAGGCACTGTGGTCACAACCCTCTCAGAGGGCCCTTCCTTGAGCTCCCCGCATTCAGGCTGAAATGGACCCCTTCCATTCAGTTGAGTGCCACCGTGGTCCTGGCGTGGCTGGCTGTCCATTACACATGCCCCTTTTCCACTCACCCCTTGAAGGTTAACATTTCCAGGAATTCCGGTGTCCGATTTTTCTTCCCATCCCCCACCCCCTGCTTTTCCCAGTGCCTTTCCCACTGTCCCAGCATCAGCCACCTTCTGTAAACCAGCAAGAGCTCCCAGATCGGTAGCCCTGAGTGCACATCTGACTACATTTGGACATTCCCACGTGGGTATCCTCAGGGCACCTCCAACCCCACACCCCTGAAGAAAAGCCAGCCATCTCTTCCTTTCCTTCGCTACACTCAGTCCTTCCCAAGCCCACCTCCTATGTTGCCACAGCAATCCGGCCTGGTGACCCACCCCCCCAGACCTTCACCTCTCCCTTTTCATCTTCACTGGTCACCAAATTCTCTTGATCCTATTGCAAATCCTCTCCTTAATCTCCACCTTCCTCATCCCACTGCCACTGTCTTAAAATACCTTAAAAATGTTATTTTTTTCCTCCAGTAATACCTTTCTCCAATCCAGGGCACATTTATCAATCTCCTGCCATGTGCCAAGTGCTCTGCTAAATGCTTTACATGACTTAACCCCACTTAATCCTTAAGACAATTTTGACATTGGTGTGATTATTCCCATTTTACAGATTAGAGAGTGGAGACTCCAAGAAACTGAGTTCCAGGTGCCACAGCTCATAAGTGGTGAAGCCTGGATTGCCTCCTGGGTTGCTGACACAGCCAGCACCTCTGTGGTAATGACTCCCCATTTTCAGCGTCCCACCACAGCCCCCACCGCCGTTGAGACACAATCATCGGTTATTACCAATTGCCTACTGAATTTCTTCACTTGCTATGATATCACTTATCAGGTTGTGCCGGACTATCTTTGTCCACATATCCCTCCCCCTCTAAATAATTCATTTCTTCAATGGAGGACTTTGTTTTGCTTATCTCTATAACCCTGATGACCAGCAGAAAGCTTGCCTGATATTAAGGACCGCAATAAATGTTTATTGAATAATGAGTTAACCTATAAAGCCCTCCAGATTACTTTTCTGATTCTGGGGGGGCAGATGTCTTCAGATTATGAAACACTATTTTTGGAGAGTAGCATGTGACTCAATTATCATTCAGTGAATGGAAAGCATCGTATGAATCAATCTACAAATGCTTCTGAAAGGACTCTTTTTTCATGAAAACAATAAAAATAATAATGACAGTTTCAAGGCCAGAGTATCCAGACCTCAGTATCCCTCCCGATGCACATTCCTTGTTTTGCCATCCGCTGTGGGAGCCATCTCTCTGGCTACTGTATGTGCAAGGGTCCTGAGGTCAGGGTCAGACATCCAGCCTGGGAGAAGCATGTAGCTTTTGGCCCCAGGCTCATCAAACAGACCCTGACTCTCTGCCCTTTGTCTGCTTTCTGCTTCTCACTCCCCCGGGACACACATGCGTCCCTGCTCACCCTCCTGG